CGTTATGATAATTTCTCCGAAACGCAAAAGGGGAAATGGTATCTCTGGTTTGAATCGTATTTCACCATAAAATCGTTCTAAATTTCATTTGAAAATTAGAGAACATGTTACCGATCGGTAATCTCGATTCTTCGAGTGCACCTTAATTAAGCGAAATAATTAATTCTAGAAAATACATAAAGTTCGACAAAAATAACTTGGAGATTATATTTCTTCTTATTTTTCATACGAAGGGCCGGTGAAAAGAGAAGGAGAAGTCTACGATATTTCTATTTCCAATGACAAAATGTGATTCGATTTTAGCGTACAGGGGATTCCCAGGCGTTTTTCACGGTTCTCAAAATCTTGACAGAGAAAAGAGTGGGAGGTCATAGACGCTCAGTGCACTTTCAACTTGACAGAAGTGAAATCATATAATTTACTGCCTGGCAGCTGCGAACCTTGAAGACTGTGTAGCAGCTTTCCAATTCATTTTCCGTTATTTGGATTTTCCCTGCTCACGTTCGCTTTATCCGCGGGGGACCAGGAGGGGGAATGGAATGTATAGCATGCCGTTGGAGGAAGATACAATCACGATCTAAGATTCTGAATACCGAGGAACGCGAAAAAAGGAATCGTTAAATATTTCTTCTTCTCGTTAATAATACCAATATTTTTCTCTAACGTTATATCTCCGCTTCTATTCCCCGTTTCCACCATTTTATTGAAATAGATGAAAATATTGTCGATGGTGTGTAGTATTATCTGTAAAATATTTAATTCGAATGAATATTTTTCGCTCTATTAAGGAAATAGACAATTTGTATTCGTATTAATGAAATTTTTAAAAGCTAATGGTAAGATGAAGGGAAGCTATTTGATATCATTGGAAGGAAATCTTGATTTTATTGTGAAGGAGAAAGGGAAGAAATGTTGAATATGTAGCGTGATTAAAAGAAGAATTACCTACATAGGGGAATTGTGCAAGTATGCTGCGTATAAAATCAAGTAGAAAGAAAAATATTAAGGAATGAAAAAATAGAGTCTATAATGGAGAAAGGTATAAATAAATTACTATTGTGTTGTGTGCAATAGAAACTGATTTAAAAAACGACATTTTTACACATGGATTAATTGTGCGTATAATATCATAAAAAGTACTAAATTTAAAAAGCTCATATTATTTTATTTGATATAACAAGAATTGTCCTTAAAGGAGATGTTTCTTTATTAAACTTAGAAAGTAAAAAATTTCGTTCTTCACCTTAGTACTATCGAGACCATTAGAACTACATAACAAATAAAAGCCAAGAAACAATGATGCGCTGAAAATTGGAGAAATAGTGCAAAATAACGATAGAGGTTTGCAAATTAAAATCGCAAATCAAAACACTTGCTATATCGTCTACTTATCTATTAACTGTATTGTCAAATTTTCAACATATTGCAAATGTTGCTAAATCACGTTCAAAAATCATATGTCTAAAAAAATCTAAGTCTAATTTGTATCAACTTAGAGTATACATACACAACATTTAAATGCAAAGGATAAAAAATCTGTTGTAGATTAAGAAAAAACGACGTCGATAAGAATATTCCATTTAACAAAGGGTTTCGTAATTCACCGTTTCACGTAGCCTTTTCTTTCTTCTCGAGATACATTGAACATTTCTAAAAATGTAAACATTATAAATTCTGAAACAGTCGTTTCAATGTTAACAAGACAGCAAAGTAATAAAAAAAGAAAGAAGAAACTTTCTAGTAAGCATGCCTCGAACGATCCTCATTTGCGAATATACACTGCGATCCGAATAAACGCAACAATGAAACTAATATCAACGAACCTGGAAACACCGTAAAATATTTCCCGTAAATTCGCTTCTTCTGTACAAGTTAGAAGAGCGTTTATAATATCCTGTGGCTAAGTTTCCTTTCCATACGTCTCTAAGGACGCCCCCATTAAATGGTGGACAGGGGTAATCGAATAGTTCTAAGCTACCGGAGGGTCGGAATAGGCGTTCTAAAATTGGGAGGGGTACGTAGGGGAACACGAAAACCGGATGGCACGCCGAAATGTAGTCGACTATATTCTGTATTCATCCTCCATTTCGGAACATAATTTTTATTTTCACAAAAATACTACTTCACCGTTCCATTTATTTCCTCATCAAGTGTAGCAAGAAGAAATTTGATAATTTGTCGATTAATTCGTCACGAGTATCGTGTTTGGATTAGAAAAATCACAAATTGGAACATTCATCGAAAAAATCAATTGAGATTAAAAGTGAACTTTACAAATCATCATTTCGTATTCTATTTATTGTATCTTTTGTTTGATATACGAGTAGCTTCCGGTGTAGAGAATATAGGGATAGTCAGGTTCGTTTTAACCATTATTCTGTAAATAACTTGATATTCACACCCTCCTATTTCCCGTTCTACGTTTAATTGTCGCGAAAATAGCACCTCCGGCTAATTAATCGTTATTCCGTGCAAGGTAGGTGAATAGAAGCAACATGGACGCAGTCTCTTCCTTTTCCAACCTCTTACCCTGATCACCCTGACCCTGGGCACACAGGCAGCTGTCTCACTCCACCCCTTTGTGGACATGGCACTGCTCTAACGTAAGAACGGATTTGTCTATCCCTGCACGGTGTGCAGTAGTACCGCAAGGCCATCGAAAATTCGTCTCGATAAAATTGTCTGATCCATTTTCTCAATTAACAGAATGTCAATATTACCGATCTAGTAAATGCACACGTGAGATTTTATAAATTTCAACGTAGCGTTAAAAATGCATTAAACTATCAAGTTTGTGTAATTGATGGAAATTGAAAATATTATAAAATGTAGAAAAATATTCCATAATCATTGGACATGCGCACAGCTAACGTTGCACACTCTGGTAGAAGGCGAGAAATGAAATATCCTCTACAACAAACTAGCATCCTAATGTAAAAAATTGAATAATTCATCGAGACCTCCTCGATGCTTGTGCATTACATAAGTAACGAAACATTTGCAACGTCTAACAATAGTATAGCCTAGTTGTAACATGGGAACAGCTACATCGAAGGTAGAAAATAATTCAGGAGAAATTGCCTAGTGGCCTATATAAATGCAAATCGCGCGGGCACGATACGCATCTTCGACTGATTCCGCTGGTCTCGTCATTCCCACTGGCGCTTAGCGTGAAAAAATGCCCGATAGATTCGTGCAACAATCTTTCAATATGAATACCAACGGCGACGCAGGAGCAAGGAACTCGTTAACCGTGCTACCGTTCGCCGAAAACACCCGGTAGATTTCTGCAGGAACCGAACGCGCAACGGGGAGAAAGAGCAAGGAAACGGGCGACTGCGAAGGCGCAAGAAAGAGAGTCGAGGGCGCTCGCGCTTCTCGACACGCTCGCGCACACACGCGGCACAGAGGCCGCGTGCGTACATTTTCTACCCGCGTGTACAACAAACACACACACGCGGATGCACGTTGCGTGTCCGTGAGCCGGAGTGAGCGAGCGAGCACGCATGCACGCGAAAGCAGCGAGCGTGCACGCAGACAGGCACGTTGCCGGCTGCGAAAACCGGCGTGCGAAAATTGACCAATAAGGAGCAGAGGCGGGAGTCGGTGGGGCAGCCACGTGGTGCTGAGTTGACCAATAGGAGGTAAGGCGCTCGCGAATTTCGAGTCGGTTTCCCGCTTAGCGCTCTGAGCTTCTAGTTGCTAGAGCAGGACAGCGAGCGAATGGGGAAAAAAAAAAGAGTGAGAAAGTGCACGCACCAGCAAGGAGAGACGGGAAGGTTATACGGCTGGTAAAAAGGAGCGAGGAAGAAGGAGGAGGGCAAAAAAAAGAGAAGAGTGACGAGTTTACATCGCATTGCCCCCCCAGGACACGCGAAAGAGTGAACGAGAGGAACGAGAAGGTGGAAGAGAGAAAGGGTGAAGCGCTGAGACGGCGAGAGAGAAAGAAAACGCCGAATGAGAGAGCCCCTCAGACGTCGTGTCGTGGTCTAGCCAAAGAGACAAGAGCCTGGTAGGAAGGTGCGTCGTCGTCGCAACGAGAGGAGAGGAAAGAAAGAGAGAAAGAGAGAGAGGAGTCGCTGGGCACACGGTGAATCGTCAAGAGAACGGTCAACGCACGTCCCTTAACCTTAAAAAAGTTGAAGAGTCGTTTCTGAGAAGACACGGTCGTCGTCGTAGTCCGCCTGATCGGTCGTCGCAGTCATCCTCGTCGGTTTGTATGATCGAGCTGGCTCGAGAAACATCCATTGCCACCGGAAACACGCCAGGTCTATGTACTACCGGTGCCGAGTCGACGTGACAGAGTTGTTGTATCTCGAAGCGAGCGGGAAATAGACAGCGGTTCTAGAGGAAACGAAGAAAAGAGAAAACAAAAGACAGTACAGGCAGGAACGCTCAGAAGATCGTTCAAGAAGTTTTACGAAAAAGAACCTCCTGTGTCCCCTTCGGTTTTTGGTGTGCAAGCGCGAAAAATCACGCCGAGTATCACGCGAGAAAAACAATCGTGTTCACCGAGACATTGAGATAATAGTCAACCAACGAAAAGAACATAAAAGGCCAGAGAAAAAACTCCGACGAAAGCGCGCTCTCGTGTTCGTTTCTTCCTGCGTGATAACAGGATTTTTCAACGTCGTCGTCGTCCGTCGTCGTCGTCGTCGTCGCCGTCGTCTACGTCGCGTACGTGTACCCGTCCTGCAACAGGGACAGTTTCACAATCCTCGACGTGTCCAAAACGTGCGGTGATCGTGTCATCGTCGAGTTCGTCTACGGTTTTTATCGGTGAATTCCCCTTCGGGTTCTCGTGGTGCGAGATAACTCCGGTCGTTATTTCGCATTTTCGCATCGTGATCATCATCCTCGTTGACGTGTTGTGGACAACATCGTCAGCGACCGGTTCATCTAGCCGCGTTACCACTGGGCTGTAAATCTATCAAACCACGTGACCGAGACGTAATCTCGGAAAAGCCGTCATCGTAACGTCCAACAGCGAGCCAACAACCATGTCGAAGCTTTACGTGGGCAATCTACCGTTGGATTGTAACGAGAGTGCCCTCAGGCAACTCTTCCAGGATCACAATTTGCCATGTACAACGATCCTGGTGAAACGAGGCGGCTACGCATTCGTCGACTGCACCGATCAGTCCGTGGCAGATCGTGCGATCGACAAACTTAACGGTGAGTTTAGTATCAACAGATGAGATAATGCTAGAGATAGATCGATTCGTTATGCTGCGCTACCTTGAACTCCTATCGGCTGTTGCTACGCTGATACGAACACCTTTGTACAATATGTATTGCTTTTACTATGCCAATATGTCGCTAAGTTTACTGCTGTTGCTGCTGCTATTATCACAGGGCCTGCTGTCACGTTCCATGACCGAACGAGAAGAAAGGGAACCACCGGCAAAGGAGAATTACACGGAGACTTTGGAGAAAACGCTTTTACCGCTTTATGTACTCTTGTTTGTATATATATATATATACTTTAGGTATGGACCTTAAGATCTACCGGCAGGAAAGGCAGAACTTGTTGTTTTTTGTATAAAATCTTTCCTCTATTTACCTATGCAACAAGTTACGTCTACCTGTGCATTCAGATTGTCACGCTTTCACCATACATTTTCTCATTAGTCTGTAAGATACTTTTATTTCGTAGAAATATAAACATTTGCACGCTTGTATATATGCTTTACACAATTTGCTGCTTACTTTTACTATCCTACCTCGATCGCAAGATCGACATCCTGTACATATAGTAACCCCCTATCCAACCTGCGCAATTCTATGTATATACATACGTATACAATGTATTTTTACCATAACCTATGTGCGAATAATGGGCAACTTCAATATGTCATTCAGTGAATCGATCGTCAGTTACATACGTTGACGAAAGGACAATCGCATACGTATCGTTGGTTTGTTTGATTTTTATATTCACTTCGATCTGTTATTATTCGAAAATACTATGAAAATCGTGCAAATTGAAAATGACACGCACGCTTGATCGACGGTCATTATGACTCGACTGTTTCTCCAACGGGGAAACATTTGTGAATGAATATGCTTTGTACAAACAACCACTGCGTATTGTCTATCCGTTTGAGAGCCCCTGGGCGCGACCTCGAAAATGCTTCCGTCGAAAAAATACATCTTCCTATTTTCATTGAATACACTTCGCACGAGAGTACAACGACATAGTTTACAACGTTAGATATATTTACGAAGAGTACTACGACATTAAACGCTATCCTCTCGTCTGTGCTTACACGAAGATTTTCGCTGAAACGAATTGTGCTTTCCAAATTCGCCTTAAAAACGGCGCGACAGATCGTGTCGTGTGGAAAACTTATCCACGTGGTGGAGTGGCGCACGCATCGGCAAGATGGCGGAGCCGGTTATACCGGCAAGGTCACGCGTGTGGGTTTCGCCTTTGAGATAAGTTTCTGATAATCTCTCCCGTCGCGGCTAACGTACTGTCGTTGATCGATACGATTACCAATTTCACTGTACTTGGCTGTAGTAATTCGAGCATTTAACGAAAAACTACGATATAATCACGCTACTGATAACGCGTCTCTTAAACGTGTTGATTAGAATTCCAGTTATCGCGACGAGAGCCGAAAAATTTTCTTTCCGACAATAATACCGTGTGCCCAGAAATACCGGTGCGTTGCGTAAATTGAATTTCATAGTCAAACAACGATTTCGTTCGTCGAGAATACGTACGTGGTAAAAGTGGCCAGCCGGTAATCAACTGAAGCTGTTGATCGTTGCATTAGTCAATACAACTACTGTTTTTTTTTTTGGTCTAATTTATCGTTGCATCGAAAGTGAACACAGACGAGAGAATCGAAATAAATTTCATTTTTCGACTTTTACCTGAAACGGTTATTCTTTACGTAAATCCTGACCCTACATACGGATTTTCGTCTTTGTCTCGGGCATGTTAGATCGATACTTGACTAGAGACGACTCACGCCTGCAGGTCGGCAATTCTCCCGCCTAAAAAACGTGGTCAAGGTCGCGCCTGTACGCGTGACGTATAGTTCCCCACTGGCTCCATGTCGAGGTTAAAATTTACATCGTGAAATACCGTCGACTTCATCTCAAGGCGCTCGTCGAAATTAGTTAGTCACACTCGTTATATACGATGGTCATGCTAATCGAGTAAATTCGTACGCCTATTCGTAAGTAAGTTTCAGTGTTGATCGATGCCTTTCGACGTATCGTTTCTTCCACGTCTTTGCCACAGACGAAAAACATTAAAGGGCAGAAGGAAAAATATACGAGGTTGGTATTCCGTGGAACGATTTTAAAACCGTCTCGCCCGACACCGGATAACAACACCATTTGTGCGTGTGATCGCAAACCAATCCGTTCCGTGCCAAACGTTCGCAAGAGACAAAATCAGTGTCATGTTCGTGACAGTCGGTTACATTGCGAGATGCTAATCGACGCGTATAACTCGCTTCGTGACGATAAATTCTAGGTGAATTGCAGGTAGTGTTGGCGAAAGGGAAAGTAACATTCTTTTAATCGTTCCTTCTCCTTTCTTTTAACCAATATTGTAAAATTATAGAATTTCTCGAAATTCACGTTACGTTACGAAATTGCTTAAAATATGTAAACTGCTAAGAGGTACGGAATGCGAAACAGTTTGAGAAAATTTCGGATATAATGGCGGGCAGAAATGTAGCAAAGAATATACGAAGAGAACGGTCGGTCTGCTTAGAACCCCGGGTTGCAAGAAAGAGGCGCGGTACGAACATTGGAGCGATTCATAGGGAATAGTCTCTCCCTCTATTTCGTTAGCAATACAGAAGGCTCAGTCGTTGCTCTGTAACAGCGGTACATATGTATGTATGTGGGGCCGATCCTTGGATACAATGCCGTGCGCGGAGAACGTTACTGCTGTGGTACAGAACTAGTTTGGTAGGTTGTGTTACGTTTTAGACCAACTAAACTAAGGCTAGTGCGGTTAAACTACATCGGAGTACAAGCACCGATATTAATTCACCGGGGACTCTCTAAGCTTGTCCTGTCATTTAATGCCTTCATTTTGTCACGAGTCATGAGAAAAAATTTCAACCAAGCAAAAAAGAGTTTCATCCTTTTCCAATTGCAAAATGACAATTTAACCAAAAAAAAAAAAGAAAAATTCAGAAAAAAAATGAAGGTACCTGCAACGATTCGTCGAAGGAAATTGTTCCGTTTTAAAATCTGATTCGCGTCGAGCCTCGGTTACAAAGTAGCCTGATGTTAATAGTTTGGCAGAATAGGAGTAGGGGATTTTAGTCGTAAGATCGAGTTATATTTTCCGTGTTCAAGTTCGGTGAATCACGCGTATCCGACGTTTTATCTGAACGGCTGAAGAAGAGAAGGAGAGTAGAGTGTATATTTTTAATCGCAGTTTTGCAGTTGTTCATGGCTTGGTCAGCTTGATTTGTCGCGTGCCTGCTCGAGACCACCTGCCCTCGAAAAAATTTACCTGTTAACAGTGCACCGGTAACCGACACTGATGGAACTTTACGATTCGGTTTCTCTTCGGCTACGTCGTGCTCCGGGGGTTGATAATAATATCGATTTAAATTAAAGAAAAATAATCCTATGTTAACATGCTCGATCTCATTACGATAAGGAAAACTTTTCTCTAGATCGTGTCAAATGTTATTACTACTACTATCTGTTTCCGAAATCTCATCTTATCGATCTTACGTGTCGTGCACAAGGATATGTGTACGTACAGGTAGCACGCGTTTAACAAAAACGATTAAAGTTAATTAGGTCGTACACATCACCTCGTCTGTCTTTCATGCATGGATCAGTGTGAAAAATCATTCGCGTAATTTAAAATCGGCTCCTGTGGCTCTTTTTTTACCTAAAATGTGAACGATATGCAATGAACCCTTGGTACCATTTACTATCAGTCGGTACATTTTATTCCTTACCCAATGACTTCTAAGTCCGAAAACATTTATCGCGTACTCTCCAGAGCGGTTATAGTGGAACGAGGTTGAACTTGTTGCTCGAAAGCGCGACACTTTATTTACTTGCTACGCATTTATCTCCCGGACACGTTGTAAAATCTTCGCGTTTTCCGAGAAACCGATGTACGTGTGCGTCTAGATATTTTTCGTCGATCCAAGGTTTTTTTATCCAGTTGCGATTTCGTTCGGAGATAACGCCCTGAATGAATCGACATCGACTTTCCTGCTACATTCTGTTGATATTCCCTCTGCTCGATCATACATACGAGCCTTCTTTACCGTGTGGAATAAAAATTCAGCCGCGGGTTTTTGAGCGTTAAAGTTGAGAGCAGCGGTGGAAAAGAAGTCGATTCAACGTCGACACAAATGTACGGTTTAAACGTAAAAAGTGCTTACGCGTCTGCAAGGAGGAAGTGCTATCTTTAGAGCAGCGAAAAGAGAGTGTGTGGTGTGTCTCCTCGTCTTCTTTTTCGTCTAGCCATCCGCTTTCATTAACTGAATGTGTACGGTCTCGGGGGCCACGGTTGCGAGAAACCCATTGTAACATTTCAACATACCCGATACTGCTAAACGAATGAAACGTGTAACGACTTTTCGTTTTGAACCCCCGCTATCGGTCATCACGAGTCTTTCGTAACCGACACGATTCACTTCGGTTGACCACGGTTTAACAAGCGATAAAATCCACTTGTTGCATCTAAATTAAACTGTCGTCATTTTTTCATTTCATTCAACTCTCATAAGTACAGATGTACTTTCAATGATTAGAGTGATCTAGTAGTAGAACGATGCAATTTGTACCGTTGAAAGAAGTAAAAAGATGAAACGACGAGATCAGGGTAAATCCACGAAGTTTCATATTAGAGCGAAATTGACGTGCGCAAGTCGAACTGTGAAAAAAGTGATAACGTCACGATACCCCTATATCGAATTATCCCCGGAGCAGTCTCTATTTCGAATGCTTCTATATTGGCTTCGTCGGCCGATTCTCTATTTCTTTCTTGGCCTCCCACGCGGCCGCCTTTTTTTTTCTCTCCCTCTAATCTATATTGTCTCCGTCTTTCGTGGCCTCTGTTCACTCGAGAAACCTTTGAAGACACGTGTTTGTTTTAGATACTCGGCCGTTGACTTCCCGGCAAATAACCGTGTTACCGCTGGCTACACTTCCTCCCTCGAACCAAACCA